GCATTATCTACGCAAGTTGAAATATGTGTCATTACCTCAATTCGGTTTCTGTGAGAATTTTGTCTATAAGAACCGCCTTTTATTCTCAGATTCATGCTAATCTTGGCAAGCAACCAGCCGGAACAATTCGATTGGGCTATTAACGACCGGATGGATGAGATCGTCCACTTCGACTTGCCGGCTTTGCCAGAACGCATTCGCCTTATACGGCATTACTTCGACCTTTATCTCTTACAGCCATCTCTTGATAGGCGTCAGCGCATCCGACTTGACGAGGTGATCGATTATGCTCTAGTGTGTCACAAAGTTGCCGAACGCACCGAGGGACTATCTGGCCGTGAACTCGCCAAGTTGGCTATCGCTTGGCAGGTTTGTGTTCTGATACTTTCGTTTCATATGAAATAAAGCTCGGTTTTGAAGATTTTCTTAATAATTTCATGCCACTATTTTTTTCATTTTGTTTAAAAAGCTTTTTGAAAGGATTTGCAAATTGACCTCATTGGAAACCCAAGTAGGGATTATGAGATGGTAGATACAAAGAAATCTCTCTCTAGTGAGCGTAAACCACCGGGACCGGGAAATAGGAGGATTGAGGAATATTTTAGTTAAAGACAGTTATCTACTGGGATTTATACATAATTATTTTTTCAATTATAATCTATTTAATGCTGTGAACTAGTTATTTAGGACCATACGCGCACCTAGATTGCTATACTCACTTATCGATGCCACCGTCCTGTTAGCATTTGCAAAAAGTAGGTGAACTATTGATCAACTGGGGCATTATAACAATGGGTAAATATAAACGAACTCTTTCCTCGATTATGTTTTTCTTCGAGAAATGCCAGACCCTCGTTCTAGAAATACATTTTATAAGCTTTTGTACCAGAGAATATATGAAAGGAAGACCTGCCTTGTTATCAAGGAGAGACCATCTGAACTCAAAACCTCTTGTAAAGATATACGCGTCCAAGAATCATAACTGGTTAAGCCCAAGATAATCACTCTAAATTGAATTTTATAAAACACGTTTTGAACAATGTGGCGCTTTTATACCTGAACAGCCAACAACTTTGGTAGAATAAACTAGTGTGGGAAATATAATATGGTCTGGTGTTTGATGGGCTAATTGAGA